TTGTTCTATTTTATTGAATAATTAAATTAATGAAATAAAATATCATAAAATAATTTCTTAAAACTTCAAACCAAACATGTTCTCCAGTTTCTATTTTGAGAAACAGTTTTTAAAAATGGAAAATCAAATGCACAACAAACCATCAAAGCAGAAAACTGAAAATGAATTCGAAAATGAAAACTGAAAAAAACCAAACATGTCCTAATTTTCTCACATCTCCAACAACTTAAAATTGAAAAAGGAAATCTATTATATTGCTGAATTGTAAAATATATATACAATCACATATGTTCTATATGTGGAATAAAAGAAACTTGTGACTAGAATTACTGCAGTGAAGCTATACATAGGGATTGGTAAACCAATGTTTAGAACTATAGAGTAATACTATTTAGACTCACTGGTGTTTAGCACTAATATTTGTGGCATCTGTGTCACTTAAATGTAATATCACATGATTCATTTTAATTGAACCTATCAAGTGTCACCACCTAAAGTGATGCTAGATAGTATTATTCATAAATATATATTACAACGATTATACACAGTGACCATATCCTATGAATGCTCCTTAATAAATGGTCGGCAATTTTTTGTTCTTGATCTATGAAATGAAATGATAAAGAGGAATCCTTTCGATTACGAACAAAGATTTCGAAGGGAATAAGAATACTCTAATAAAGGAATCAATTATAGATATAATGTAATAAGCCACATTTTTTGTGTCCATGCAATTTGCAGTATAATGAGATGAATGCTTTTTTGTGGATGCTAGTACTCGACCTTGCACTGTACCATAGGATAAAGGACAAGCGAATAGACTTCAAGTTATAATTTGCATGGACCAAATTTAGATATATGTGTGTGAGTCTTTTCATTTTAGTCCAGCGAGTGTTGACTCAATGGACGGAAAAGATATCAATGTAAGCATATATCCAAAAAATAAAAATTAAAGAAATTACTGAATGAATGTATAGGAGAAAAATAAAAATATACTCATATTGCAAAAAAAGAAGTACATAAATGAACTTTTAGACCAAAGGATTTTACATTCTATAATGAAAGCTCGTAATTAATGTCTCAATTGAGAATCATTGTTACCTAATTAAAGAAAATTGCAAAGTGTAGCCTTTGATGGAAAAATGAAATATCCATTGCACGTGAAGAGGGCATGTTGAACATGCATTATTGGTAAATTAATAAGCACGTGTCGAGTTTCATTATAATCTCTTTAATCTCCTTAAAACCAAAAGAGTAGCGCATCTTATAAATCCGTGGATAATAAGTTGGTAGTATATAAATCTGTGGATAATAAATTGATAGTAGTTGTAAATGTGATTAAAATTAATATTTGACTTTGTTTAAAAATTAGGTAACTTACATGTTTCCCAAACAATTATAATTTTGACGAGATGTTGATGGTTGCAAAATGTGTGCGTAGGTTCTTGTCATTTTTTACCTCACAAGGGATGGGATAGAGTACCTCACGAGCTTGCTTCCTTTGCTCTCCTAGTTCAAGCTTCGATTAGTTGGACATTTTGTATTCCCCATTTAACCTCACCTTTCGTAAGGAAAATACCATTTTGCCAGAATAAAATTGACACTTTGGTTGACATCCTCTCACATTTGTGGTGCGATCCATACAGGACCCACATGAATTAAAAAAGATAAAAAATCCCCCCCCCTGCCCTCCCCTCCCCCCTATTGTTAGGGGCCTGTCAGGGAGGGTGTCAAACCCTCCATGGCATCCCAGTATTATTCCGTTTCGTTAATGTGAGGTTGGTTAATGATATTTGATGTGACTGTTTTATTTATTTTTTAAATAAAATTTTATGACAAGACAATTCAACCTTACCTCCTATATAATTTAAAACTATTTTATGTATACAAATTTATATACAATTATAATAATTACATGAGATATGTGTACATATATATGTCCAGCTGCTACAATAGTTAGAAAAGAGAATCACACGATGAAGAAGTCAACTAAAATTATTCTTCCACATTATCTAATGCATATTTTTCATGTGAAATTCTATAAGGAATATATATCTTAAAAAATCTCACTTTCTTGTTACGTTTTTGAAGTACGGGCATCATGTGTCGACTTAAAGTCTTCTGCTCATTTCTGGCTTTTAAATTCTTGAATGGTTAGAGGAAATGAGAATATTTTGATGCATATCTTCAACTTTCTATTATTGCTGGCCGTCATACATTCCATAGTGGAGATTGTACAATTATTCCTATCTCAATTGGAGTTTTCAACAAAATATGCATGTTGATATAATTGAAGATATTCTTTCCTTTTTCCTTGATATTTTCTAAAAATTAATTATAAGAATTTGAAACATAAACTTCACAAGCTATGAGTCTAATTATAAAATAACTTTATTTAAAAAAAAAATTTATCGTTCAAAGTTGAAAATAAATAAGTTACTTACTGCTAGAGCAAATGTAAGCTTACATTGAATTTTTACTTAACAGTAAAGATTTTCTTTTTCTTTAAATCTAAGCATATATAAAACAAGTGAAGCTTCTTTTTTGTTTCCAAATGTGTTTAGTCAAAACATCATCAAAACCTTTATGCAAAGTGAGCAAATTTAAAACTTGTTTATTATTTTATTTTTAACTTTAATACTTAGCCCTGTTTGACAACCATTTTTCGTAGAAAATGAAGTTTTGAATAGTGATTTTTAGGAGAATATGTTGTTAAAAAGTAGGGAAAAATTTTGGGTTTATGTGTAGAATATTTTATTGTGTGATTGAAAATGAGTATATTAAAAAAATAGTTCAAAAAAAAAATGGTTGTCAAACAAAGGCTTATATGTAAACTTTTTTTGCATATAACACATAACACATCTATAAATTATTGAAAACAAAAGTAATTATTATTTAGAAAAAAAAAAAAAGTTTAGCCAAACATGGGAACTAGTACTAATTTTCCTTTAGTATTGAGCTATAACTTTTAGTGAGACGTTTCAACATTATATATACTAGTCTTTTAATATAAAAAACAATAAATCAGACTAGCATGGATCAAAATACGTTGTATAAGCTGTTAAAGGTAGGGCATGTTTGTTTTGGATTAAAATCTGATTTTAATTTAAGTCAAAGTCAAACAATCAATATTAACTATATCTTTCCTGCGTCCCACAACTTTTCAACCACACATTTCAAAAGTTTCTATCACAATCTACTAAAAATCTAATTTCAATCCCCACCAAACACCCTTTAAGACATAATTCCTAAGTGTTCATGACATCGAGAAATGACAAATCCTTATTTTACGAAATAAAGGGTAAATTAACTATATATGTCATTTGTTTAATTCGTTATTATTTTATTTCTTAGGGGAAAAAAAAATTCAGTCACCTTTTTCATATAAATCCTTGATGAAGCCAGAAATATTACAGAATATAATAAAGGTACATAAACATGAAAATAGCCATTGACGAACACCCGAAGCCTTTATCACGAAAGATCAAACAAAATCAGGCATAACTCAGGTATTGATCCATTGACATGACCTTTCAAATGATAATATATTCTCAGTCTCTTTCCTCTAGATGAAAATAAATTCATTCTAGCCTCTATATATACCTCTATGGAAATCTAGTTTTTTCAATATCAAACAACTTTAAATCTTAATTTAAATAGTTATACCATTTTCTCCGAATTTTTACGTCGTTCTTTGAGCAAAAATGGATACCATGATGCGATTAGTGGCCGAAAATCCTGCAGTTATATTCAGCAAAAGCACTTGCTGTATATCCCATGCAATTAAGATGCTGATACGTAGTTTTGGTGCAAACCCTACTATTTATGAGCTCGATGAACTCTCCAATGGGGACCAAATGGAGAAGGCATTATTGGCATTAGGGTGTGACCCAAGTGTACCAGCTGTGTTCATTGGAAAGAAATTTATTGGTGGTTCTAATGAGATCATGAGCCTCAATGTTAAGGGCAAGCTCAGGCCACTTCTCATAAAGGCAAATGCTATATGGATATAGGAACAAGATGAGTATGTTTGGTCTGCTGACGCGACTAGATACGTTAACAAGATTAGTACCAAACATGATAGTAGATTACTAGCAATTTCGAGCTCGCTTGTCATGTTAAGACATTTCGAGAATGTTAATAGCTAGTAATAACTAAATTTTGAGATAATTATAAGAAGTTTTTATGGTTCTCTTTGTTGTACTACTTACATTGAAGGAATAAAAAACCAAACATTTTATCTTTGAGACTAGTGTACGAGTTTTTCTATTATTGGTGAACTTATATAGATCATTGGTAACTATTCAACTTGTCTTGATTTCTCCTTTAGTTGAGTAATGTTTGGTAAAGTTTTTAATTGTTGATTAATATAAGCAGTGATTTTTACAAAAAATAAAAAAATTGTATAATATAACAAAACATATGAATAAAAAGTATATTTAACCAAATTGAAAACCTTAAGCTTATTACCTATGAAAGTAAGTTGCTCCCAATCTGAAGTTCACGAATCATAAGCGAGTTAACATTTACCCAAGCGTTCCAGCTATGCTCAAGTCTTACATATAACGAACTCAAAGACAATTTTCCATTATGGTGATCTCAAGTCCTGCCCTTAATTTTAGCCTCGAATCAGCACATTGTTGAGCCAAAAATGACTAACTAATGGAATATTAATTGTGTTAGGTTTGTAGTTGTATTGGCAATTCTTTAAATATAAGGATTATTATAAAAGAATAGAATTGTTACAAAAAAGTTGTAAAAGTCAAAGAATCTTTTAGGGGGTTGTATAGATAAATTAGGAGTTTTTGGGTTCGACTATGGAATAAAAAAAAAGGGTTGTCAAATTTACGTTAGCCTATCGCCTAGCTAGCTGATGCTCGAGCGTCCAAAGTATAATCATTGTCGTCCGACTCTCGTTCGAGGGACGCACCTCTCACTCATCTATCACTAGTCGGCGTTCGAGCAACGATGTTTTTCGAGAAATCCTAGTTTACTTTTTTCAAGAGTTTTATCTATCATATACCACTTAAACATCTCATATTATAACTACGCAATGCCAGTACCTTTTTGTGGTGATTGATCATTGTTTTACATCTTTATATAATTATTCCAAGATCCAAGAACACATCCAGATATTTAATTTTAACTTATCAATTCTTGAGATTAATCAATCACATGTTTGAGAAAAACATCTAACTCATATAATCCAAAACACCAACTTCCTAGATATTATCACGGAATATACTTTCTTAATAACTTTCAGAAGTTGTTGAAGATTGAGGGAGGCTGGACCAGATGTACAGGAAGAATACCAGAACGAGGCGTTCTTGATGTACCACAAGAGATAGACAATTCCAAAAGATTGGAAGCAGGTGTGAGTGAAGTACATTCCGCGGGTCTTGGAGATTGCAGCAATTAGATTAGCGAGTCTAGTAAGTTTTGTAGGCTGAATCATACTGTAAGTTCTTATTGTCTATAATGAAAACTATTGGTTTGGTCCCGAATGTTTTACACAGTTAAGAGTTTTCCCCATCATCAAATCTCGTGTTATTTACTACTTTAATTATT